GTTAAATATATCCCGGAGCGCCCGGTATTCACTACACTAAGTCCGCAGGAGTTAGTTAGTCTTCTCTCTATCTGCCAGTCCATGAAAATACAACTGTTTTGCCTAAGCAGAAACTTACGAACCCAAGCAATCCACCTAACCTAGCGAGGCCCATGCGCAGAAAACGACAGTATTAGGGTGCTTTCTTTTTTATTAATGTGTTGTGCTATTAATGGATTGATAAAGTTGGTTAAAAAAGCGACGTATTAGGTGAGAAGATATGTTGTGAGAGCGTGCGTCACTGAAGCTTTCGGTCGTTTATGCAAGGCAGAGACAGCCGGAGTGGAAAAGCACTGACATAGTTTAGGAATTACCTGACAGGTGCCAGAAAGTCAAAGTGAGGGGCGAGAAGTCGGACAGGCGTAGGATATGAAGCGGAGTACCTTAAGGATCGGTGCTGGGACCAGTACTATATCTCATTTCTGGAAATGACCTATCTACAAGAGTTGAATCTTGTAAATCGAGTTTTGCGAACGATGAAAAGTTAACGATAAAAATTGAAACAAATGAGGATTGCAAAATGACTTAAACAAACTGCAGTGTTGGTCCGAAAAATGGCCAATATTGGATTTCAAAATTGAATGGCTATTGGATTTCAAAACTAGCAAGTGTAAGATGATTAAAATGGAAAAAGACGACTAGAGACCAAAACGACAAGACACATTGAAAGGGAATTACCCCCTCTGTAACGACTGCAGAGAGGACATAATATCAAACATAACTCTGGAGGCACATATAAATAGGTAACATCAGCAGCATACTCTTCACTAGCAAAAGTCAGAACATCGTTCAGGAACCTAAATTACGAGCCATTTAGATTGCTGTACACCGCCTACGTGAGATCAGGTTTAGAGTATGTCGCCCCATCTAAAATAATCATATAAGGTAACTCGAAAATGTTCAGAAGTTTGTGACGAAGTTCGTCCCAGAATTGCGAGAGATGGTGTATGAAGAGAGACTGAAGGAACTAAACCTAACGATGCTTGAAAAGAGCAAAGTGTGGGTATATATGGGTGGAGTGTGGCTAGGGGTAGTGAGCAAGAGAGCTCTGGCTGGGATGGCAGATTCCGCCTCCTCTCCTTCACTCTCTCTTCCTCGACGATACTTTTCTTCTTCTCAATACGTTTTTAGTTTTCGGGATTTATTTTATTTGTATTTTTGGTATTCATTTTTGCATTTAGTTTTCACATGCACGCACACAAGCACGCACATGTGGGAAGAGAGAACATCGCAGCAGAGGTAAAGAAAAAGGCGCAGGGAGTGAGAAAGAAACAGAGGAACCACAGTCCCCAGCTCAACAATCCCAGAAGGAAGTTGGGAACCGTCCATTAGCACGTCAGCAACCCCCAAAGAGAAGTGTAGCAAAAGCCTAGACCACCCATCTCTCCAACCTTCCCCACCCCCTAAACATCACCCCCTACACCCTCCCCATAGAGACTCGCCACACCAAGCTCTCAGTGACCTACATTCCATGGGGGGGATGGGGGGGTATAGTGCATCTGAACCTTTTCCAGTCTTGAACCTTTTCCTTTTCCAGGAGGTAAACACGTAGTTGTGGTAGTGGCACCAGGAGAGGAATACACGCTCTCTCTCTCTCCTCTCTCTCTCCTCTCTCTCTCTTCTTCTCTCTCTCTCTTTCTCCTTCTCTCTCTTTCTCCTTCTCTCTCTTTCTCCTTCTCTCTCTTTCTCCTTCTCTCTCTTTCTCCTTCTATCTCTTTCTCCTTCTATCTCTTTCTCCTTCTATCTCTTTCTCCTTCTATCTCTTCTCTCTCTCTCTCTCTCTCTCTCTCTCTCTCTCTCTCTCTCTCTCTCTCTGTCTCTCTCTCTCTCTCTCTCTCTCTCTCTCTCTCTCTCTCTCTCTCTCTCTCTCTCTGTCTCTCTCTCTGTCTCTCTCTCTCTCTCTCTCTCTCTCTCTCTCTCTCTCTCTCTCTCTCTCTCTCTCTCTCTCTCTCTCTCTCTCTCTCTCTCTCTCTCTCTCTCTCTCTCTCTCTCTCTCTCTCTCTCTCTCTCTCTCTCTCTCTCTCTCTCTCTCTCTCTCTCTCTCTCTCTCTCTCTCTCTCTCTCTCTCTCTCTCTCTCTCTCTCTCTCTCTCTCTCTCTCTCTGTCTCTCTCTCTGTCTCTCTCTCTGTCTCTCTCTCTCTCTCTCTCTCTCTCTCTGTCTCTCTCTCTCTCTCTCTCTCTCTCTCTCTCTCTCTCTCTCTCTCTCCTACTGTCTGTCACATGCTCTCCCTGTGGCCATCAGCTCACCATAGACAAGAAGTCCCCGACAAGAACTAACCCGCGGCCATACCCGAGCTCCTAAGTGCTTGTTCAACATTACTGCCGTTGGAAACAGAAAGAGTTAAGAAAAATTAAATCGATAATTTTGGTTAGTTTTTCTTTGTGGCGGAACAAAGGCGGATAATAACTTTGTACTGTGGAGTAATGAATAGATTTATCACTTGTTGAAGAACACCAGGTGCTGAAGGTGGTGTTGAGAACACCAGGTGCTGAAGGTGGTGTTGAGAACACCAGGTGCTGAAGGTGGTGTTGAGAACACCAGGTGCTGAAGGTGGTGTTGAGAACACCAAGTGCTGAAGGTGGTGTTGAGAACACCAGGTGCTGAAGGTGGTGTTGAGAACACCAGGTGCTGAAGGTGGTGTTGAGAACACCAGGTGCTGAAGGTGGTGTTGAAGAACACCTGGTACTGATAGCGATGCAGACAATCGAATGTTAAATAGGTGTTGTGGGTGGCGTCCTGGGCCTTGAAGTCAGTAGCTAACAATAAGGGTCCTCGATGAGCCTAACAGGCTACTTATTCTTGACAATGAAAAGTCGAGAACAAATCTCCCAGATGCACAAGGCATCTGGGAGTTCATGAAGGGAGGAGTGAAGGAAGGACGGACATTGCTTCAGATCAGTGAGGGGAAAGGTGAGGTTTGTGAGGGATTACTTATCACAATATATATTTACAAAGTTGACCAGACCACACACTAGAAGGTGAAGGGACGACGGCGTTTCGGTCCGTCCTGGATCATTCTCAAGTCAAGTTGACTTGAGAATGACTTGATTCTCAAGTCATTCTTAACTTCAGAATGGTCCAGGACGGACCGAAACGTCGTCGTCCCTTCACCTTCTAGTGTGTGGTCTGGTCAACATACTTTTGCCACGTTATTGTGACTCATCGCCTGCATATTTACAAAGTAATTTATATAACAATGTGGAGCAGCAATCTTGAAATTTCCTTCGTTGTGTTCAGTGCTGAAGTCTTTGATGGCTTCAGACTACACTCTTCCTTAATGTTATTTGCATCATTAAAAAAATATTAAGTGAGCATCTGTGAAGTTTGTGAGGTATTGAAATTGAAATACTGTACGTTTATTGAGGTAAAATACACACAAAAGGATGAGGTAGCTCAAGCTCTTCTCACACCGTTCAGTACAACGTGTTCATACATATCTGTGAGGTGTTGCTCCTGGGTCCTGTATGTAACACAGTGTTTAATATCCCACTTGTTATGTCCCTAACTCACCTGAAATCCTCGGTCACACATCTCACCCCCCCCCCTCCCCTTGCACTGTCTCCCTAGCTGGTGCAGACTGACAAACAGCGCTGCATTATATACACGGCAGTCATGCGTATGTTCGTATCTACATTTGATAATGTTTAACTCTGTATACATTGTGACAATTATTACAGGGTATAACATAAACCCCGACTGTGGTGACTTGGATGCCGGTAACTCTGCTTCTGGCGAGGGAATTGACATGTGGATGTCTTGTACAGTCTCTGTGTTGATTTCATTATTGTAGTGGCTGAGATTTTGGAGTGTCTGTATGTCTGGAGGATGTGCCTTTACTCTGCTCCCGTTTTGCTAGTATTGCTATTGACTGTCATCTTTGTTCACCTTTCCTAGTGAAGTATATTATTTCATTAACCTGGATCATCGGATATTCGAGCTCAGGCCTCAAATGTGGGCTACTGTTGTGCTACCAACCATGCCAAGGATGCACACAGTAAGGACGTCACACTTGGCTACTAGTTAGGTACTTCTGAGATTCGTCCTTGTTGTTGAGTACCAATGGCCAGGTTGTTTATACAACGTTCTCATAACTTTTGAGGCCCGAGTTCACATCTTCGATGATCCAGATGAATGACATAATATTCTTCACTAGGGAAGGTAAACAAAGATGAGAAGCAATAGCAACCCTTAACAACACAGAGCCAGAGTGCCGGCACTTTCTCGGGACAATACAGGTGAAGAAAGCGTTATCACATATGCTATTATGAGTTGCATCTTACATAATGAGTGTTTAAGGTTTATGAAGGAACTGTGGTGGCAAGCGACTTCATGGGACCGTTGGCTGCAACACATAACACTCCTGAGAAAGTATTCAGAGCGATAGCTCATTTTTGTTTCTCTTTTCGCCCAACAATCGTACAAGGAAGACAGATTGAAGTGTCTCCGTCTGCACTCGCTAGATATGCGGGCCGTGGGGATGGAGGGTGGGGAGAGTCGTGGTTCTCCAGTGGGTCTGGGACTTAAAGAAGCAGGGTATTAACCAAGTTCCTGTAACTGTGGGAACATGTCAGAACTCGCAACAATGGGTACAAGGTAGAGGGAGTTCGTTTGAGGAGATATATAGGGAAGTACTGGTTTAGAAATGTGCTGCCGGTTAACCACTATTGAGACAAACAGTTTAACAGGTTTCAAGAATAGATTAGATAGTTGATAGGGGGGTGGGTGCCCACCTAGTATATGCCATGAGGTCAACTGCTGTGTCCTGCATTCTTATGTTATATAAAGCTCATAAAGCAGCCTATAAGCACCGCCGGGAATAAAGCCATGGTAGAAGCTGTGCACGAAACATACACTACTGAAGCACAACTGACAGTATATTCCCAATCGTGGTGCAACTTAGCATTTTATTCTTCAAAATTAGTAAATGCTGAACTAACAGGTCATTCTATTTCTTCAACAGACCCTGCTGCCTGATCTGGTTGTAGCCAACCCTCGCCTCTCTGACCTATGGGAAGCCGCCACGTCATTCATCTCCGCCCTCGAATGGTGCCAGCCAATCCTCATCCACGATGACTCCCCACAGGCCCTACAACTGGCCCACATTGCCTCCAGAGACGACACCTACGAGACGATGGGTCTCTCCCTCTCCGCCAACCTGCCCCGACACCACTTCCAGAACCGCCTGGGAGGTATCCTTCACACTGTCCGCAGGCTCATCTTCGTTTCCGGCACCGTCAACTTCGTGAAGGTGGTGTTCAGCCACGGCGAGGACTTGGACATGTTCAACGGGGAGTACATCTGGATCCTGCTGGACGTGCCCCTACCCGGCAACTTGTCCGAGTCCCTGCGTCCTGGCCTCCTCAGTCTTCGCCCAGACTTTCTGAGAACCCCCAAAAAGCAGCTGCTTATAAACTTTGTTAAATCGTCAATATCTGTGATATCGGAGTTTTTCAAAGAAACCACCGTGGCCTCGTCAGCGTTGCTGGCGACGTCAGCGCCTGTACAGTGTCAAGTGCCTTACAGAAATCTGTCCACGAGTCAATCTGAATTACACAGGTGAGTCTATTTATCTTCCCAAACTGCAACAATGAAATTCACATTATCTGTTCGAAAACAGAAAATGGAGGGTTTGTTATATATTTTTTTTCACATAAAATCCATTTGATAGATCACACAACGTAACCACAACGGGATCTTTTACAATGGTTATGTAGTCACAACGTTGTAACAACGTTGACAACGTTGGGGTTAGGGTGTGTTGCGACACAAGTAAAAAGTTTATGAACTTGAACTTACAACTGTGTAAATTCAGATTTATACGTAGTTTATGTCTGCATATTTAATTATTCAAATTCTCTAACTCTACTTTTTTATAATACATGTAAAGTTGTAAACACTAGTTTACACTCCATGGCTATCGTATTATAACACAGTGATATGCATTTAATGGTCAGGAAAAGCTATTGTAGCATACATGGCTGTAAGATCATGTATGCTACAATCAATTCAATCATGGGCGCCTGACAGCTGAGTGGACAGCGCTTCGGATTCGTTGTCCTGAGGTTCCGGGTCCGATCCCCGGTGGAGGCGGAGACAAATGGGCAAAATGTTTATTTCACCCTGATGCCCCTGCTACCTAGCAGTAAATAAGTACCTGGTTGTTAGACAACTGCTACGGGCTGCTTCCTGGGGGTGTGTAAGGACCGGGCCGCGGGGACGCTAAGCCCCGAAATCCCCTCAATATAAGATGACTGTAAGACCAGCCTGTACTCTTAATTTGCCACTCCGTAAAAATGCAACTGTTTTACCACACCTGAAAGGTATGAACCTAAGTAACGCACCTAACCTATCCAGGCCAAGGCATAGAAAACGTCAATATTTCAGTGCTTTAAGTTTTACTAATACGTCAAATTTTGAACGGATTGGCCGATTCCTTAAAGGCGAGGTATAATCTGAGACAACGGGTTGAGTACGCCATGAAACGTGGAGAAACACATAAATTCAGTCATACTTACATGTGTAGAAACTACAAACTTGCATACGTACATAAATGTATAGATACGTAAGTACATATAAACTTTCAGATAGAAAGGATTACATGCATACATATATACATAAAACATACATACCTACCTACATGCATATGTACATAAATTCTTTATAGATGCATAAATACATACATAAACATATACATACCTTCCTACATATATATATATATATATATATATATATATATATATATATATATATATATATATATATATATATATATATATATATATACATAAATTCTTACATTGATGCCTGAATACATGCAATAACACTTGCATATATACTGTGACGAGGGAAGACAAAGGGCAGAGCCTCGTCGAGCTCCACCGGTGACACAGTCACTGCTCCCTTACCCCCTCCCCGCTCAGCTCGTTGTCGCCGTGTGGGGGCTTAGTGGGCGGCTGCCGGAGTGTGATGCTCCTTGGGACAGTCCTCTGTCCTTTTCTAGCCTTGTGCTCCTGCTGCCGTCCTCTCCAATTTTGCTGGGCATCTTTTCCTTTTCCTTCTGTTTCGTTTTTCTCCCCCCTCTTCTCCTATCTGCTTGCCGTTTCCTGCCGACCTTTTGCTCGTTCTGGTTCTTCCATGGACTTCTTCTATTTTGACGCCCGGGTGCTTGAGGAGGCATACTCATGCACCCGTAGAACTGCAGTACCCGACGTCGAGAGCGAGGGGAACCTTTTATTGTCAATCCCCACTTCGTCACTGAACCCGATCTCGACGGACTGTCGGTTTCTTAAGGTGGCGTTTGTGGGGCGTATACTCACGACGCACCCCTAGGAGGCCCCGACAAGATCGGCGATAGCTTCTTGTTGGGTGTCCTGCCTCTAATTGTGGCTCCATGGTGGGTGTGGGGGCACATTCGTGAGTGAATTCTTCATTTCGTCAAGATGATAACCCCTGTTTCGGCTGCTTCTGGCTTACCTTCTCAGGCTCGTGGGGTGGGCGACCAAGCCCCCGAGTCGGTCCGTATTGGAAGACCGGGCTCTGTAGCCTCCGCTGCATTGGGCCCCGACCTTGCTCCTCCTTTGGCCTCTCTGACTCCTTCCCCTGGCTCCCCTCCCTCCTCTGTGGTTGGGTCGAGCCCCAAGCCCCCAGTGGTGACTACCTCGTCCCCTGGCGCGGCTCCTTCTCTAGTTGTAACTACTGCGCCTTTTAACCCCTCTCTCTCTGGGGGTTCTCACCGCCGTCCTCGTCACGGCCGCCCTCGCTCGATTCCTTCCAGTTCTGCTACCTATCAAGCCTTGTTTGGTCCCGCTTCGTGGGCCAAATATTTTGATCTCCTCCCTCTTGATTCTGCGCCTCCTGACGATTTCTCCCTTCATCGACATCTCATTGATTCCGTGGATGCCTCCATTACTTTCAACCCCACTCGTCTCGGTACACGTGTCGTTGCTGCTCCTTCTCAGGATGCTGCTTCCCGCTTGGCTGCCTTATCCTGCCTTGGCGAGACCCCCGTTCGGGTCTCGAAGAACGCTCAGTTGAATGCCAGTGTTGGCACTATTTTGCTCCCGCCCCATGTTGCAACCGGTGTTCGGGACCTGCGCGACTGCCACGACGATATTCGCCATATCCTCGCTGCCCAGGGCCATTCTATTCTCCAGGTGGACACGTTTACTCGTCCCCCTCGTGGTAGTCGCCGTCAACCCCTCCGGGTTGTGAAGATTACCTTTGATGGTAGGACCCTTCCACCCTCTGTCATTCTTGCTGGTGCCAGGTGCTCTGTCCAGGAGTACATTCCTTCTCCTCGGCTCTGCAACAAGTGCTGGAGGTTTGGGCATGGTGCCCTCCGCTGCTCCGGGACTGTCTCTCTCTGTCCTTTGTGTGGTGGCGAAGGTCACTCTAAGTCGGAGTGCACTTCTCCCCAGGCTCGTTGCCTCAACTGCGGTGAGGCCCATCCTACCTTCTCCCGTGCGTGTGTCCATTACAAGCTTGAGGCAGCCGTCCTCAACCTGAAGCACCGGGAGCGTTTATCTTTTCCTGAGGCGAGGCGCCAGGTTCGCCGGCTCCCGCCTTATGCTAATATCTCTTATGCTCGCGTGTTGCGCTCTTCCTCTCCTCGTCCTTCCCGCCTTCCTCAGACTCACAACCGTTTCCGGGCCTTGGACCCTGATGCGCCCACTGCCCCCTCCTCTGTTCCTTTGGGTTCTCTCCCGAAGGATCCTCCTCCTGGTCCTCTGTCTGGGGTTCCCCTTCCTTCTACCCGGTCTGTCGTGTCTTCTGTGTCTTCTTCCTCGTCCCCCTCCGATCCTCCTTCCCATCCTCTTCCTCCATCTATTGGCTCTCCCCACCGCCTGTCGGTGCGGGCGGATGTCCATCGCTCTCCTAACGGCCGTCGTGTGTGCTCTCGTTCGGCTTCTCCTGTTGAGACACTGGAATCCGTTGCCCGGTACGTAGTTGCTGGGACACCGGTCTCTTTAAGTCAGAAGCGTAAGCCTGGCTCCTCTCCTTCCTCTTCCCCGGCGGGTAAGAAGGCTTCGCTTTCTTCCTCAGCTCCTCCTTCTGGCTCTGTTGCTCCTTCCCCTCCCGTTTCAGTGCTTGCGCCCCCTGTTCCTGCTATGGAGGTTTCTTTGGCCCCTGCTTCCCTTTCGGTTGCTGCTCTTGCTGGGGTGCGCTCCCCTCTTTCTACTCCCCCTCCTCCTGCTGCTGTCCTTGACGGCTCCTCTCCGTTGTCTCCTCCTCTTCCTCCTCCTCCTCCTCCTCCTCCAGACCCTGCCCGCCCACCTCTGCTCTGTTCTCCCGTTTCCTTCCCTCCGTCTTTGCTCAGTTTACCCATGCCCCCTAACCCTGACTTTGCTGACCCTGATCCCGACCCTGATATTCTTTAACGTGCTCTGTTGCTCTTTCGCCTTTGTTTCTTCCTTGTTCTCTGTTTTTGTCCTTTCTCTTCTCGTCGTTGTCCATTCTTCAATGGAACGTTCGAGGTTATTACGCCAATTTCCTCGAACTCCAACTTCTGATTTCGCGGTTTTCGCCCCTTTGTGTCTGTCTCCAGGAGCCAATGCTTGGTGCTCGTCCTGGTCGTTTTCGTGGCTATTCCTTTCTCTCCCCCCCCCCCCCCAGCCATTGCTGGGGCTTCTAATTCTTCTGCTCTTTTGATTCGGGCTGATGTTCCCTTTGTTCCTTTACTTTTTCCTTCGCCTCTCCATTGTTCTGCTGCTCGTATCTTTGTGGGGAAATGGTACACAGTTTGTTCCATTTATCTCCCCCCGAGTGTCCCGCTCTCTCTTCCTGATTTGAAACACCTCCTGGACTCCTTGCCGGAGCCTGTGCTCCTGCTGGGTGACTTCAATTGTCGTCATTCTCTTTGGGGTGACGTTCTGACGAATACCCGGGGTCGCCTCCTTGAGCCGTTTCTCCTCTCTTCTTCCCTGTCTCTTCTGAATTCTGGTGAGCCCACTCATTTGGACTCTCGGACTCGCACCCTTTCTTGTCTTGATCTTTCTCTCTGCTCTTCTTCTCTTTACTTAGATTTCACGTGGCAGGTTCTTGATGACCTCCATGGAAGTGATCATTTCCCCATCCTTGTTTCCTTTTTCTCTTTTCGCCCTTCCCTCTCTTTCCCTAGGTGGCAGTTTGCTAAGGCAGACTGGACCCTATTTACCCTCAGTGCTGCTCTCCCTGACCTCTCCCTTCTGCCTCTCTCTCGCGCTCTCCTCCTTTTTCATGACACTGTCTTCAACGCTGCCCTCCGCTCTATTCCTCGCTCTTCCTCTCGGGGTCCACGGAAGTGCGTTCCCTGGTGGAATGCGGACTGTGCTCGGGCTGTCCGCTGTAAGCGTGCAGCCTGGAAGAGGCACCGCCGTAGGCAGACGACCGATTCTTTTCTTTTCTTTCGGAAAGCGAGTGCGGTGGCCCGTAGGGCCATCCGTACGGCTAAACGTGAATGTTGGGCATCTTATGTCTCAACAATTACGTCCGAGACCCCTCTGGCCCAGATCTGGAAGCGTATCCGCAAGATAGCGGGTAAGTTCGTTCCCGATGTTTCACCGGTCCTTCACCTCCATGATACTCTTGTGGCGGACCCGTTGCAGGTCGCTTCCGAACTGGGTTCCCACTTTTCTTCTGTTAGCTCTGGTCTTCATCTTCCCCAATCTTTCCTTCTTCGTAAACCTGTCCTTGAGTCTCGTCCTTTAGATTTCTGCACTCATCTTCAGCTTCCCTATAATGATCCCTTCTCTCTCTCTGAACTTCGTTCTGCCCTGGCCCTCTGCGGTTCTACGGCGGCGGGCTCCGATGGTATTCATTATGAGATGCTTCGCCATCTCCCTCCGAGCACGTCTCAGTATTTACTGAGTCTGTATAATCGGATCTGGGAGTCGTCGTCAGTCCCTGAGGACTGGCTCGATGCCGTTGTCCTCCCTGTTCGCAAACCGGGGTCTCTGGGTACTTCCCCTAAGGACTTTCGCCCTATTGCTCTCACAAGTTGTGTCTGCAAACTCTTTGAACGTATGGTTAACGTTCGTCTGATGTGGTTCCTGGAACACCATCACCTCCTCTCCCCTTCTCAATTTGGTTTCCGCAAGTGCCGCAGCACGACAGATGTCCTGGTGAACTTGGAGGTCTATATTCGTACTGCTTTTGCTGCGAAGACCTCCGTTGTTGCCGTCCTTTTTGACCTAGAAAAGGCTTACGACACCACTTGGCGTTATCATATCCTATCTCAACTTCATTCTTTTGGCCTTCGTGGTCATCTCCCTCTCTTTCTCCGCAGCTTCCTCTCTCGTCGTTCCTTTCGGGTGCGCCTTGGTACCGCTCTCTCTCCCTCTTTTCAGCAATACGAAGGTGTGCCCCAGGGTAGTGTTCTGAGCACTACTCTTTTTCTTGTTGCCCTCAATGGTCTTCTTTCCTCTCTTCCTTCTGGTGTCTTCTCCGCTCTCTATGTCGATGATCTTACCCTTTGTTGTCAGGGTGATGATTCGCCTCTCCTTCAACGCCGGCTTCAACTTGCAATTGATGCCGTGTCGTCTTGGGCCACAGGTCATGGCTTCAAGTTCTCTACTTCTAAGACTTGTGCCATGACTTTTACGCGGAAACGGGTTGTTCTTCGTCCCTCTTTGTCACTTTATGGTCATCCCCTTGAATACAAAGATTCCGCGAAGCTTTTGGGGTTATTCCTTGACACTCGTTTGTCTTGGTCTCCCCATATCTCTTACCTCCGTGTTGAGTGCTCTAAGGCCCTTACCCTCCTTCGGGTCTTGTCCCATACTTCTTGGGGGGCAGATAGGCGCACTCTCCTTGCTTTACATTCCTCTCTCGTCCTGTCTAAGCTCGATTATGGTTGCCCTGCTTACTCGTCTGCTTCTCCTTCTACTCTTCGCCGTCTTGATGCTTTGCACCATACTGGGTTGCGCCTCAGTTCTGGTGCCTTTCGTTCGACTCCCATCCTTAGCTTGTATGTTGACACTGGCTTCCTGTCTCTCCAGGACCGCCGTGATCGCTACTGTCTTCGCTATCTTGCGCGGTCCTTGCAACATCCTTCCTCTCGCCTCTGTCGTGCTTTAACTTTTACCCCTCCTGCGGTTCCTGTTCCTCTTCACCACCTCCCTCTTTCTGTCCGGTTATCTCGCCTACAGGATTCTCTCTCCGTTCGTATTTCTGATGTTTCTCCTCGTGTTGTTCCTTCTTTGCCCCCGTGGAGGGTCCCTCTTCCGCGGTTTTGTACTTCCTTGACCCGTATCACTAAAGCTTTTACCCCTCCTACGGTTCTAAAACGCCTTTTCCTCGAGCACTTTTCTTCTCACTCCCGCTCCGTTTCTGTCTTCACCGATGGGTCTAAGTCAGCGGACGGTGTTGGCTACTCTGTTGTTTTTCCTGATCGCACTTATATGTGTCGCTTGCCTCCGGAGACTAGCATCTTTACAGCAGAACTTTATGCTATTCTCTATGCTCTTCGTCTCCTGCTTTCTCGTTGTCAGTCTTCCTTTGTGGTTGTTGTTGACTCTCGTAGTGCCCTCATGGCTCTCGGGTCCTTTAATCCGGTTCATCCAGTAGTTGTCGAGATCCAGCATTGGCTGTTTCTCGTTCACAGTAAATTTAAGTCGGTTGAGTTTTGTTGGGTTCCCAGCCATATTGGTGTGTCTTTAAATGAGCGTGCGGATGCTGCCGCTAAGGAAGCTGTCCGCTCTTGTCCCATCTCTCGTAAAGGCATTCCGTATTCCGACTTTTACCCAGTTATCCATTCCTCAGTCCTTACCCGTTGGCAGGCTTCTTGGTTGTCTGTTACTGGTAACAAGCTACGTACTCTTAAATGTTGTGTTTCCTCGTGGCCGTCCTCCTTCCACCGTAACCGGCGGTGGGAAACAGCTCTGGCGAGGTTGCGTATTGGCCATACTCGCTTAACCCATGGTCACTTGATGGAGCGCCGCCCTGCTCCTTATTGTCCTAGTTGCATTGTCCCTCTTACGGTCGTGCATGTCCTTCTTGAATGTCCTGACTTCCAGGACGAGCGTGTGTCTTGCTTTCCGACCGCCCCTCGCGGTCACCTGTCCCTCGATAGAATTCTTGGTGACTCGGATACTTTTGATATCGTTCGCCTTATGCGTTTTTGTTCTCGTATTGGCATCCTTGGTGATATTTAGCGCCCTCTGATTATTTTGCGTATTTGATGGTGCTACATAGCCTTCCCGGTTTGGTGCCTTCTTTTGATAATTACTTACTTACTTACTTCTTCTGCCGTAAGATAACGACATCTCTACCGTGATAATGTTAAGTTTTAAAATCTAACTTAAATTATCATCGAATTTCCAACTTATTTGCTATTTATCGGTGCTTTGAGAGTGTTTGCTTTCAAGGGGGCCTGACAGCTGAGTAGACAGCGCTTCGGATTCGTAGTCCTGAGGTTCCAGGTTCGATCCCCGGTGGAGGCGGAAACAAATGGGCAGAGTTTCTTTCACCCTGATGCCCCTGTTTTCTTGCAGTAAATAGGTACCTGGGAGTTAGACAGCTGCTACGGGCTGCTTCCTGGGGTGTGTGTAACAAAAAGGAGGCCTGGTCGAGGACCGGGCCGCGAGGATGTTAAGCCCCAAAATCATCTCAAGATAACTTGGTGTTTTGAGTGTTTCCTTTCACTCTTTGTTTTAAGAGTTTGTGTTACTCAGGTCACTGTATTTAGAACAACGTTTGTGACAGTATTTTGTGTATGTTTCACTCTGTGAGTTCGTGAAGCAGTAACAGCAAGATTCAGTTTCGCTTTATAAGGCGAGAGAGAGAGAGACTTGGTGGTGCTTAGTGTTGTGAATCCTGAAGAATTATAACGCCGTGCGAGCCTTAAGGTGACGATGCTCTTCTCTCTCTCTTACTTTACTCCCCTCGTTATTTATTTTTTGTTTGATTTTGCTCTCTCCTATTTGTTATTATTATCATTTATTAACTTTCTTTTCTACGTAATTTTTCTTCTTATTTTTATTCTTTAATTATTTCCCACTTATTTCCTTCCTTCCTCGTTTTCTCTACGTAAGAAGTTCCAGGAGGGACCATAAAGAACAGCGCCGTGGAGGATCCTCAGGAAGATATCTTGCTCTCTTACTCTCTCATAGAGATGGTGTTGAATGGAGACGTGAGGCTGAAGGAGGTGGAGAGTTGAGAAGGGCGGTGATGGAGAGTTGAGAAGGGCGGTGATGGAGAGTTGAGAAGGGCGGTGATGGAGAGTTGAGAAGGGCGGTGATGGAGAGTTGAGAAGGGCGGTGATGGAGAGTTGAGAAGGGCGGTGATGGAGAGTTGAGAAGGGCGGTGATGGAGAGTTGAGAATGACTGATGAAGATTCAGAATTATGGCAAATGGAGTTAAGATGGATGATGACCGACTTATACAGATGAATACTGGGCGAGAAGCGCTGGAATATGTAAGGATGATATATGGAAACATTTTGGTTTGAGAGTGAGAGGAATATGTATAGTTTGGAGGTGAAGGTGGAGGAGGAGGCTGGTGTCACTGGCTCAGTCATGTAATAACACTTAACCTTCACCAGTAACAGTGTTAACTGTGGAGTTGGGGAACCTTGGTAATGAACAACTAATTGTTGTTGGAGAAGAGTAGTGTTATTGTTGGGGATGGGCCACGAGGCCAGGGTACACTTTACACTACACTATATGTACACTTTACACTATACTTACACTTTACACTAGACTATACATACACTCTACACCACACTATACACATCACTCAGCATTTACCAGATCTGTCACTCCACTTAGTTTGTTCATAACAAATTCTGATATATTTTCCTTCGTGGACAATGTCTGCAGTAATGCTACGAAATAACATTTAATTTGTAAACAAATCACACTTTTATTACGCGAATCATAACAACTCCTTGAAACTATCAATATTTTGTTATGTACTGTAATTTCCGTTGGAAAATCATTTATTGTGTTTTCCAATTATCGTTGTAGGCACTTGGCGGATGGATTCAAAAGGATAAAATGCTTTGCTTTCCTATTCGTGGCCGGTGATGAACAACTACAGCTGAGGAACAAATGGCAAGAACCGAATGTGTGAAATATAAACTGTTTTTTTTTAGTGTAGGCCTATGGAAAATATTCGCAGCTCCGTTCGAAATTGATTCCGTTCTCTCCTAGGTGTAGTGGCATAGTTGTGCCTGCAGGGTCGAGCAACTACCGCTCAACCAACAGTAGTTCAGGGCAATGAGTACTTTCACTCGTTTTTCTTATCACATTTACATTTAAAATTGTGTATCTAATTGGCTTTGGCAGCTCTCTCACCTAGTCCTTTCCACTCATTTGTCTCTTAGTTTGAAAAAGTTACCTTTGACATATGTGTGACTTCTTGTGTTTTTTAGTCATTTTTTCCATGTTTTCTTTATGTTTACCAGGTAACTTGGAGTACCCGTCTTTATGTAGAATATCTCAATTCCCACTTTTCTTTCTTTTACAGACAACTTAAAGAGAAACTAACATCAAGCAGAATATCTCAAAGATCCTTACCTGGATTGACTCCATTTTTTTACGTGGAGAACCTCGTACCGAAGAAAACGGGTGTAGGAGCCCAGTGGACCCGGGTGGGGTATGTGAACGGGACGGAGGTGCAGATCAACGCCATCTTCTGGCCCGGGCGAGGGTACAAGGGGGTCTCGGAGCAGAACAAGAGACTGAGGGTGGCGCTGGCAGAGGCTCCACCCTTCGTCATGACCTCCGCCCTCATCGAGAACGCCACCTGCCTCCTAGGGGTTGTCTGTCTCAGAGTTAGTATCACAAATTTTTCCCAAAAAATGTCAAGCAGAGACTGCTTGTATAGACTCTCCTCTGTTATTGTCTGTCTGTCTCTCCCTATCACTCTCGTATGTTAATTATTATTAGTAGTAGTAGTAGTGTTATTAAGTATATTAGAGGGTCCCAGTAGTACAGTCGGGTTCGTTCTAGACGCATAATCGAGAGTTCCGGGTTCGAATCCAGGGCGGGACAGAAATGGTTGGGCACATGTCCTTTCACAGGGGCCTGACACTAACATTCAATTATCACAGAGTACACCAGTTCTGGGAGCACCAAGTTGTACCTGCGTCTGGCACGGAAACGGGATCGGCATCCCAGCTGAGATATCAAGCGCTCTTGAAATATAAGACTGCCAAATAATTTTCCTCCTTCAATACCCCCAACCTATCTATTAATGTTCTATAATATAACTAATCAAAATCCCACACATAATCAAAAACATTCAAAGCCTATCACTATAAATATTTAAGTGAATGGTCGTTAATTCATGTGAAACAAAAGCACCATGATCCTGGTTCCTACAGTGTCAAACATGGACCCAGGGTCGTAACTGTCGGTAATTCAGTCTTGGGGGAGGACCTCGATAAAAGCCAAACGTGTATGAATACACACTGGCTTCCTGTCCCCTGATACAATGAATTATTATAAACTTTATTTAAAAATAAGAATGTTAATACCATGAGGGGTCGTCACAGGTGGTTAGAGATGTCTGACTCCATAGTTCCACTCTGTGCTGTCTTGTATGGGCCAGACATACTGCGGGGCCACCGGTACATTGATCGGGCCATAACAAACTTGACACACAAACACACTGGCCATAATTGCCATAATATTGTCATGCGACAATAAGGCCAGCTGGTGTCAATCCAGAGTCTGCCAGTGTAGAGTACTTACCATATGCCTCTGTATGACAAACCATCCTGTGTGATGGGGATTTTTTAGCACCACGTAGCTAGCTTTTTGACACACTGTACTCCCCCTTCATATAGTCTAGGGCAAAAAGCCCTAGACTATAAAAGCCTGAACGGCTTTCTGTTCACGTGACGTTCTACAGGTTCAGTGTTCCCTTCACATGACTTTCTCTAGGTCCGGTTTTCCCTTTCACGTGACGTTCTTTAGGTCCGGTTTTTCCTTCATTTAACGTTCTCTAGGTCCAGCGTTCTTTGGACGTGACGGACTCCAGGTCAGGCGTTATCTGCAGGTAACGTTCTCGAGGGCTGGCGTTCCCTTCACGTGACGTTCTCTAGGTCTGGCGTTCCTTGCACGTGACTGCTCTAGGTGCGACGTTCTCTACACTTGACATCACCAGGTACAGCATTCCCGACACATGATGCTCTCACGTTCATGTGTCCTGCGTTCCCTGCACGTGACGTTTTCTTGAGGCGGCGTTCCATGTATTGCTGGGTCATGGATATAGAAGAGCGCCTCGTCTTGTCTGTTCATCGCTCAACCCGTTCTTCTAATAGAACGTCGCATTTTGACGTATACTTTACCTAAGCCAAATATTGTCATATTAGAAAAAAGTAGTGGGTCGTGAAATTTACATACAATGCCGTTTTCTGTTTTGGGTCCTCTGGTGGGTTAGGATAAGGGCTGCCTCATTGTAGCATCACAGGAAAACCAAGTGAAATATTTGCCTCCCTACAGTATCGCAGGAACATTGTGTAGTGTCTGTGTCGTTGAGGCGTCTTGGCTCTCCAGAAGGGAGCCTGGAAGAGGCGTCATTGCTGTCCAAAAGCGAGTCTGGAACAGCTGCTATAATGCTCAACAACCAGTCGCCATATGTGAGGCTTTTAGACCGTGAAACAGACCCCATTCTGTGTCTGCGTCTCCGTCAGATTGTAGAACTGGTTGTCGGAATTGAATTACGTGACATAAAGAGCCAGTCGTCCCTTCAGCGTCCCTTCACACCACACCTTCACGTTGGTGTGGTGTGGCGGAGTACACCTTCAGTGGCAAGGATGAGAATGAGGGCGTAATGGGGATGGGGGAATACGTATGTAAGAGTAATTGGGATCGGGGGAGTGGGCATGTAGGATTATTGGGGTGACAGAGTAGGTGTGTAGGAGTAATGGGGATGAGGACGTAGGTGTGTAGGGGTAATGGGGATACGGGAGTTGGTGCCTAGGAGTAATCGGGATAAAGGAGGTGTGTAGGAGTAATGAGGATGAGGGAGTAGGTGTGTGGGAGTAATGGGGATAAGAGAGCAGGTGTGTAGGGATATTAGTCTGTGTGTAGGAGTAATAGGAATATTAGTCTGTGTGTAGAGTAATAGGGAGCCATCCTGACCTATCGTATATGTCCTCTTCACACGACCCATTTATGTGTTCCCACACACATATTTCCTGGCTTTATTTATCATGCCATCATCTCTTTTTATTTTCCTCTCGTATTTATCTCTCTTTCTCTCAGATGTTGGTCTGTCTCACACTCAGGTGTTGGTCTAATTCTGCCTCAGGTGTTGGTCCGACGTTGTTAACCACCCGGCTCTGGATATAGGCTCGTGCCTGAGACAGGATTAACTTTTTACCCCGGCCTATCACACTTCCATTATATCTAGAGTATGATCCTAAAGCTCCTGTGATATAAAACTTATAAGAACCAGTAATATACTGAGGGAGGGACACAAACACAAGTAAAAGTATAAACCTATAATAATATAACTTGAGACTGATTATATACAAAACTCTCCACTGGGCAATTACTTATATCTACAGTATAATTATAATGCATTGTATTGCTTATTATCATTTCTTGCCAACTCAGATATTATCAAACAAGTACAGAACAAAAGACTACAACAAACTTAACTAAATAAAAGATCCTCCAGCTCCACAACCCGTCCTCGACTCAAGTCCATTACATCCAGCGGTCGACCCCACAGACGCATTCATAAATGTTAACATGCTGTTCATTCAAAACAGGAATGTTCTCAAATATAAATTAATATTATAATATATTAGCATAGTGTGCATATATAGGCATAGGTTAGGTTAGGTGTTTAGGTTCTGTTGGGGATTATTTGTAATTGTAGTACGTGGGTGAAGCATTTACAGCGTTGTGGTTCGAACAAAATTCGTCAGTGAAGCATTTGTTCCGGAAGTGTTCGAACGAAATCAGTTGTGAGGCGTATATAAACCATTTTTCATTCATAAACCGCTGGGGTTTGGCGGGTGCATGGAATCACTTTTGGGTCTTTGATTGGAGGACGAGCTGCGAGACTAGCCCTCACCACTCATACGAAAACTTCTGTTGGTCTGATTTTCATTCAGGGAATCATTCATCATCTTTCAGTGAACAATCTTATAAAATCGACACAACATTGGTTTGTTAAAAATAGATCCTGCCTTACAAACCTGCTCACATTTTTAGGAAACGGTAACCAGCATCTCAGACAAAGGACTTCCAGTTGAAGTAGTTAGTGTACATGGATTTTGCTAAAGCTTTCCATAAGGTACCACATGAAGGACTGGTAAGGAAATTACAGACACATGGAATAAATGTAAGAATACTAGAATGGATAAAACAATGGTTAAAACAAAGAAAAGAAAGAGTCAGGCTAAATGGAAATGAATCTGACAGGAGAAATGTGGTAAGAAGGGAACCACAAGGGTCTATTTTGTAGCCAACCCTTTTTTATCCTATACATCAATGACATGTCAATATTACAAACCACATCAACAAATTTGCAGATGACACAAAGATTTATGATAAAGTGGGAAAGGATAATGATATTTTTTTGTATTTACTTATTTGTTTATATATACACGAGTTCTTACATTCTGGTACAGCCACTAGCAAGCATCGCGTTTCGGGCAGGTCCTTAAATAAGCCTATGTTCCCCGGAATGCGACCTGCCAAATCGTTTAACAACCTTTTTTACTGACGGGTAAACAGAGGCTACAGTTAAGGATGGACGCCCAGTAAATCCTCCTCGGCCAGGATACGAATCCAGGACAAATTGTGCTGGCAACACGTCAGGTGAGTGTTTTATTAACTACATCACGGGGACTATTTATTATTAAATAAATAAAATAAAACAAAGACTATAAACAATAAAACAGAAGAATATAAAACAACGTGAATATATTATTATATATTGAAGCCTTACAAAAAATCTACATGATTTCCATAAATGGTCAGAAGACTGACCAGAAGACTGACCAGAAGAATGGTCAATCGACTTGAGAATGGTCCAGGACGGACCGAAACGTCGTCGTCCCTTCAACTTCTAGTGTGTGGTCTGGTCAACATACTTCAGCCACGTTATTGTGACTCATCGCCTGCGACTGGTAAATGTTTTTAATATTGACAAATGCAAGACCCTGCATGTGGGGCATAGCAACCCACACCACAACTACCAAACTAAGAGATTTAATATTTAAGATTAAGAGATTTAATTTGATAGGTATCAAATTAATATTTACATTACAGTAGATCGTGGAAGAAAAGGACCCTGGAGTCCAAATCCTCCACTCACTGAAAGTTTCAAGCAGGTAATATAATATTAATAATAATAATTCAATGTGTTGGGGGACAGGAAGCCAGAGTGTATTTATGCACTTGTATAGTGTATTTATACACTTATATAGTGTATTTATACACTGAGTGTATTCATACACTCTGTCAAGGAGGAGCAGCAGTCAAAAAAGCTAACTAAACACTTAGAATAATCAAGAGTACCTTTGACGTTAAGGAAAAAAGATAGTGATATAAATTGTATAAACTCTGGTGCGTGTCAACAAAATTATTCTCACAACGTGAATTCAGAGACAATTCTATAGCAAATGTTCCAGAGATGTGTAAGTATTTCAAAATTTAAATTATCTGCTACCAGAAATCTTGGCCAAATATTTCCAGTTTGCTTACTGTAGGTAGTAACTAAGTGATTGTAACTTATCCACCGCTGCCCAGTGGACGAGGGTCGGTGTACAGGACAGGCTTATCAACTGTGACACTAGCTCTCCACATATGTCAGTTACTTAATTTAGAAACCCTACTTGTGATCGGTCTCGAGCCCATTATATGTTTTCAGGGATTCAGGGATCCCTGATCCCTGAATCAGGGCTCCCTGATCCCTGAATCAGGGCTCAGCCCTTTCCACTACCGCCCACAAGATGGGTATGGGGTATATAATAAATTAACTAAACTAACTAACGCTCCCATCTAGATTATTGTATCTAAGTATGGAGACCACATCTTCAGAAGGACATAGCTGCTCTGGGGAAAGTGAAACACTGGGCAACAAAAATCATTACAGAGCTAAGTCGACTCGCGTATCAGGAACAGTTGAAGGCCACAAGAGTAACAGTGCAAACCAGGCATGACAGTGCTATAGTAGAGGTTAATATATCAGCTTTACACTTCATGTTCTCACCTGATTTTTTTTAATCAGAGTTGATTTGTTTTTGTATTGAGGCTGGTGTTTTCTCCCCTGTTGCCATGTATGACTAACCATCCTGTGAGATGGGAATGGTGGATAAACTTACAGCTAGTTGTTTAGTCAGTTGGTTTGTTTTTGGAATGAGGCAGGTATTTTCTCCCCTGATTCCATGTGTGACTATCCTGTGCGATGGAAATATTAGATGAACTTATAGCTAGTTTTTGATCTAGTGTGTAATCTTTCAAATAGAATAAGGTAGCAGCACATTGCTGTGTATACCTAAGCTTGTTAAATAAAAAACAAATGACAGGGCAGATATCTCATTGAAACTTTTAAAATACTAAACAGTTTGAAGAATGTTGATCGGGACAATTTCTTCAAAAGATCAGATGTAACACAAACAAGGAACAACGGTTTCAAGCTGAACAATCCACAATGTAGGACTGAGAACAGATGTTTTTTCACCCACAGTATTATTTTTTTTTAATTTGCCCCGAGGGGCGAGTTTATTGGGCAGCGCCACTCATCTTGTGAGTGGACATACCGCCACAGTATTATTAAACACATGGAACGGGCTACTCGCCGAAGCTGTAAATGCCAAAACTGTTAAATTTTAAAGTCCAACTGGAAAAAAATCAAGACTAATAGGGGGACCTTCGACAAGGTGCCGGCTTCCTGTCTTCGTCGAGGCCACTAGTGTTAGTGTCCCTCAGGTCAGGGTTGCCAGATTGAGCTACAAATAGCGAATTGGGCTACTTTTGAAAGCTCAGCGCTCTCAAATTTTTAATTTCACTACTTGCGACTTTTTGGGCTACTTTAAAAGCAAGTTGGGCTAGTAATGTTACACTGAATGATGATTATTTATACATTTATAATGTAATGTGTACAAATCACAGCCGCGTCAAACAGCCTGATTGACTAGACCACTTACCACAGGAGGCCTGGTCAGAGACCGGCCCTCTGGTGACGTTGATCCTAGGAACCTTTGAAAGAAAAAGTAACCGTAAGGCAAAGTAATCCTCCCCAGGGGCCATAGATTTCCCAACCTTAATTGTCGTTAATACTTCATCCCGAAAGTTACATCTATATAATAATAATAATAATAATAATAATAATAATAATAATAATAATAATAATAATAATAACATGCCTAACTACTCAGCAATTCACAATTGATTCTGGTTCTACAGATCTTCATTAAAGAGAGAACGTTATCTAGAAATGTACGTACAGATTGATAAATGATGGGCAACATCCTTTACAGTTAATACCTTTGTCAGGAAGACGATGGTTGGCAAGGAGCGGCCTGTAAAGTGGCTGTCTCATTACCAAATCGCTTTTTTTTTTTTGAGATATATACAAGAGTTGTTACATTCTTGTACAGCCACTAGTACGCGTAGCGTTTCGGGCAGGTCCCTGGAATACGATCCCCGCCGCGAAGAATCGTTTTTTCATCCAAGTACACATTTTACTGTTGCGTTAAACAGAGGATACAGTTAAGGAATTGCGCCCAGTAAATCCTCCCCGGCCAGGATACGAACCCATGACATAGCGCTCGCGGAACGCCAGGCGAGTGTCTTACCACTACACCACGGAGACTGTTAAAAGTAAAAGCTTCTAGCTCTTGTGATAAATGTGTTACAAGGCAACTTTTTCAATGGACTCTGATTCCCCAATTAGCTATATTTCACATTTCTCAGACCAATCCTAAATCTTTTTTAAAGTATGAATTGACTTTATCAAAAAGACGAAGCAGATCAGTGTAGCCTTCACACTGTCTTAGAAAACTTCACGCTTGGAATACTCAGAAGAATCGTGCATTCTCATCATGCAAAGCTTCATGTTAATATGGACTACAATTACAAGTCTACCTCTGGAGAAAGTGGACTTTGGTTACGAATTTTCAACACTTCAGGCAACTAACAGACAAAACAATTTTATAACCCAGGAAAAGTTTCAAAATATTCAAGAAAGATGCCATAATATTTAAGTGAAAGCTTGCAAAGAGCTTCTTTCTCGTATTCCAAGTAATGCTGAAACTTTCAAAATCGTGTAGTGTACTCTATATATTAAAATATATTACTTTGAAACCTGTATCAGTCACTAAACAAAAAAATTGGGCTACTCTTATTGCAAATTCGCAACTTTTAGACCCTCAGCTCGCTACTTTCAGCAATTTGGATCTAGCAACCCTGCCTCAGGTAAGTACAGGTAAATTCAGGTGTTGGTCTCATTCTCCCGCAGGTGTTCTCGCCGGAGGTGGCGGCGACCTTCGCCGACATGGAAAGGGATGTGGTGAATGCCTCCAGAGGCTATGAGGTCGTCTGCTGCAGCGGCCTTGCTGTTGACCTCATGATCAACGTCGCCACTGACCTCGAGATCGAAATCCAGGTAAGGTCAACAAGGGTCTAGTAAGGTTAACAAGTTCGTTACGGTTAGTGGGAAATCGATTGAGGTCAGTGATGGGTATCTAAGGTGGTCATTGATCTAGTAAGATTTTTATATATATATATACAAGAGTTCTTACATTCTTGTACTGGAGGATATGGGCTTATTAATTTAAGCTCTATAGCGTTATTCAGGCACGATACTTGTTTATTGCCAAACATAGTTCAGGACGAAAGTAAACTCAGGATATGACATCCCATAATGGGGTGAGAATAGCTTGAGCTACCTCATCCCTTTGTGTGTATTTTACCTCAATAAACTTATTTCAATTTCAATTTCAATTTCCTTCGCCATGTCTTCCGCTTCATCCATCATGTTCGTGGCCCGAAGAGACTGTAAAGTATGTGGCCTGAGGAGATTATAGGGACCCTCAATCCCTCTGCTATATCCCGGTATCAGGCCGGGGCGCATCCGGTCCCTTGATCGTGGTCGCCCCTAAATCAACAACAACCCGGCTCACCCCTATTAGTGTACAGTGGGTATGATTAAAAATTAAATAAAGATAAATTTAGTAATCGAGTAAGGTTAGGTCAGAATAGGTTAGGATAGGGTATGTTACGTCAGGATAGGTTAGGTCAGGATACATTAGACCAGGATATGTTAAACCAAAATCGGTTAGGTCAGGATAGGTTAAACCAGGTTGTGCCAGGTTAGATTAGACCAGGATAGGATAGGTTAGTTCAGGATATGCTAGGTCAGGATAGGTTAGGTTGATTTATGTTAGGTCAAGATAGGCTTGGTCATGTTATGCCAAGTTAGATATTGGTTGGTTGGTTTATTTATTTATTTATTTATTTATATACAAGAAGGTACATTGGGATTGTAAGGATACATAGTATAGTAATTACAATCTTGTAAAGCCACTAGTACGCGCAGCGTTTCGGGCAGAATGTCAGGTAAGGTTAGGTTTAAATTTGGTTGGAAATATTAGTTTTAGGTCATGTATTATGTGCCTCTGTAACCCTTTCCACTACCGCCCACAAGATGGGTATGGGGTGCATAATAAATGAGGTCATGTTAAGTAAGGTTGCACAAGGTATAATGAGGTTGTATTAGGTTGTGTTGGCTACATTAGAATAGGCTAAGTAGGTCATGTCAAGTAAAGCAGTGTAATATATTACATTAATATATTACCCTGTAATATATCCTCCTGGTATAATATATTTTCATGGTATAATATATCCTCTGGGCCGGGGAGGATTGACTGGGTGCCAATCCTTAACTGTAGCCTCTGTTTACCCATAAGTGAATGGGTACCTCATTGTTAAACGATTTAGAGAGTCGTATTCTGGGGAAAAATTAGGATTAAGAACCTGCCTGAAATGTTATGCATGCTAGTGGCTTTACAAGAATGTAAGCACTCTTGTATATATAAATAAATAAATAAAAAATATTACTCTGTAAAATATTACAAATGTAATTAGTAGTGTTGAGTTTAAGAATAAATTAAAATAGTTAAATTATAATAAATTGATATACAGTACTGTATAGCACAAAATTATGAAAGCAATATTGAAGATCAAAGTGAAAATAAAAAATATAGAATATGAAATATTCTCTCACAAAAGGGAGCTAAACATATTTGAGAAGCAACCCAAGTGGACAATTTAATTAAGAAGTGTTTAAACACAAGTAGATGGAATTCAAACTCACAATACAGGGTTAGAACCCTTACCTGGAACCTTTGCAGCTTCGAATCACTGCATTTTTTATACAATAAATTTGAAATAAATTAACTCATTTCATTTAAAACAAGTACTCAATATTTGTTGATATGAAAACCTTGCTACAATGTACCCTCTCATCTTACCTGATATGTTACATTGAGAACTTGCCCGAAATGTTACGCGTGTTAGTGGCTTTGCATGAGTGTAAAAACAGTATACCAATCTTATGCAATCTCACCAACCCATTGTACCTTCTTGCAAATAAATTATTATTATTATTATTATTACTGTATTATTATTATTATTATTATTATTATTATTATTATTATTTACTGTATGACCTTGCATTTACATTATTTTGTTTTATTTTAAATAAGTGAAAAATTACTTGTGTATTTTGGGCATACATAATACAGTACAGTGGTACCTCCATTTTCGAATTTAATCCGTTCCAAGAGACAGTTCGAAAAGGAAAATTTTAAAACCGAAACGAGTTTTCCCATGAGAAATAATGTAAATTGAATTAATTCATTCTACACCCAAAAAATATTAACTTAAAAATACATTTTATACATACTACTGCAGTACAGTACTTATATTTTGTACTGTACTTCAGTATGTACAAGTATATCTGACCTATATTGAGGACTCTTGTTGGCGTATGGAAGACATGAGGAAGGGGAAAGGAGGAGTGGTGTTATTGTTTGGAAGGGGAGTCCCCCTTCCATTATAACAGCAGTGAGGGTATTTCTAGAGTACTCTCTCTCTTCTCTTATGTCTTATGTTTTGCAGGCATACCACTAAGACCTGGTTGTGGCTCACTGCTTGCTTGTCTTACTAAGAATCAGTATATAGACACTTGTTTTTCTCTATCTTTTAACACTTGTCTGCAGTGAGACAAGTACTTATCTCACTACAACACCTTAACTTGTTCAATGACACTACAGACAAATGTTAAAGTGTAGGGGAAAACAAGTCTTTATGGAAACGTTCTTAGTGAGAAAAACAAGTAGTGAGCCACAACCAGGTCCTAGTGGTATGCAGGCAAAATGTAAGAGACAGTACCCCCAGAGAAGTCACCACTGCCTGATATTATAATATCAGGAAGACTCCCCTTCCAAACAGTAACACCTCTCCTCCTCCACTCCTTCCTCAATCTATGACTTATTTAAAAGTAAAATAAAAAAGTGCCTAATTTCATCCTCATAGTTTCCCATCTAGTGCTACCCACTTTCCCCAAAATATGTGACTAAGCCAAGCAACTTCACCATTGTAATCAGTGCTATCAACTTATGTCATAGTTATGTTGAATGCAAATTTTACTTCAATATACCTATTAATAATCCTTAAATTTTCTACAATGTACCTATTAATATTCTTCAAATTTTGCTACAAATTACCTACTTAAAATTAGCTGTTAGATTAAGGACCTGCCTGAAATACTGTAGGTGTTAGTGGCTTTGCAAGAATGTTAAAACATCAATGCTATGTATTCTCATAAACCCAATGTACCTTCTTGTATATACTCAGTATATAAATAAATAAATAGTACAAACATTGATGTACTAAGCAATTAGATAGTAGAATTTTGTATTCACTTTATTGTCTGAAAAAATAAAATAAAAAATAAAATATTTTTAAGCCTAGTATAGCACACACATGTACTATATTAGGCTTGAGATAGCATGTATTAGGCCTAGAAAGGTTAGGTTAGTTTATTTTGTCTTTGCAACATAAGTAGAAAATCTTTTTCTGGTTTGTCAAAATTCAATTGTACCAATTTCTACTTTTTTTTTGCATTGTACATCTGTATATGTACTATGGGCCTTATCGTTCCTATACATACTACAGTATCAAAACAGGAGGATGGACTGAATATTCACTAAACACATCATGGTCCAGACAATAGTGTGTGTGTGCCTAATTAGTGCAGGAATGTAACTTCAGTCCTGTCAAACACCTTAAATATTTTATAATCCAATGTTCTTCCCATATAATATGTAAATAAGGTTTATAGAAATGTTATAAGAGATGAAGATGATTTAGAATACCAGAGAGGGGGAGGGGGGTTCCCAGCCATGCCCTGTCCTGTCTCTCTGTCTCTCACTATCTTTCAGTGAACAATCGTGTGAAATCGACACAACATGAGTTTGTTAAAAATAGATCCTGCCTTACAAACCTGCTCACATTTTTGGAAATGGTAACTGGCTAACCAGACAAAAGGACTTCCAGTTGATGTAGTATATATGGATTTTGCTAAAGACTTTGATAAGGTACCACATGAAAGACTGGCAAAGAAATTATAGGTACATGGAATAAATGGAAGAATACTAGAATGGATACAACAATAGTTAAAACAAAGAAAACAGTGGTGTTAAATAGGAATAAATTTAACTGGAGAAATGTGGTGTGGGGTGCCATGGGGGTCCATTTTGGGGCCAACCCTTTTTTGTCATATACAATACATCAATGGCATATATGAGAATGTTACAAACCACCTCATCAAATTTACAGATAACACAAAGATTTATGGTACAGTGAAACGTTTTAATGATGATGAAGCTTTACAAAGAGATCTGCAGGAACTCCACAAATGGTCAGATGACTGGTAAATGCTTTTAAATATTAACATGCAAGACCCTACAAGTGGGGCATAACATAACCCATGCCACAACTACCACATTAGCTACATTACATTACAGCAGATTGAGGGAGAAAAGTACCTTGGAGTCAAAATCCACTACTCAATGAAAGTTGCACAACAGGTAAGGGCAGCAGTCTAAACAAGTAACCAAACGCTTGGAATAATCAAGCGTACCTTCGAGTTCAAAGAAAAGAAGGTAGTGATTCAATTACATAAATCTCGGGTGTGTGCCCCCCATTTAGATTACTGATCCAAGCATGGAGACCTCATCTTCAGAAGGATATAGCTGCTCTGGAGAAAGTGCAACACCAGGCAACAAAAATCATTCCAGAGCTAAGTCAATTCAAGTATCAGGAATGGTTGAGGGCCACGGCTAACAACATTTCAAATCAGGCATGACAGGGCAGATCTTATGGTAACTTTTAAAATACAGTACTGAACAATTTGGAGGATGTTCATTCGGAAAATTTCTTCAAAAGGTCAGATGTAACACAATCAAGGAACAACAGTTTTAAGCTCAGCAAGCCACAATGTAGGACTGAGAACAAGAGATATTTTTTCACCCCACAGGGTTATTAACCCATGGAACAGCCTACCCGCCAAAGCTGTAAATGCTATGGATTCAACAATAGGACAATGTAGGATGGCTGGGTATAACTAGAAGCTGCCTTGTACTGGCCCATATGATTCGTGCAGATTTTCTTATTCTTCCTTTCATGTATTCTGTCATCTCCTTTCTGTCCACAGGTGTACCTTGTAATGGATGGAACTTTCGGTGCCCCTCGAAGTAGCGGGTGGACGGGTGTTGTTGGGGACCTGCTGGATGGTTCGGCAGACCTATCCTTCGCTCCTCTCTCCGTTACCGCGCAGCGAGCCAGACACCTTGACTTCTCAGATCCCTACTTCTTCTCCTCCATGTCTATGCTCTCCTCAACCAAGTAAGTGGCCAACCTGCTTCTAGATTACCTCATTATAAACACATCTTTTCATTTACCATTTTCATTTAATTTTAAGTTTGTGACTGTCGGTGTATTCAAATTAAAATATAAATTCAAATTTTTAATTAAAATTTTTTATTCAAAAGAATGAGTAAAAAAATATTAAAGTAATGTACAATTGTGGGGACAGGAGTTACACTAACTAATGAAGCCACTATTATACAAAAAGTCTCAGGCAAAACTTAAAATAATTTGGCACAAAATTGCTTTAAAGATGTGTAAACGCTTCTTACTAAAAGAAAAGTAAGCTAACAAAAATTGAAAAAGTTCAAGAAAAATTACAGATGAATACAATAAAAAGGTGATATTTAATGATGGCAGGCACAGACACCTCAAGGTGATTATGCAACAGTACAGTAGTTTAATTACAATACTGTATTGGATTAAGGACCTGTCCAAAATGCTGTGTGTGTTAGTGACTTTGCAAGATTGTAAAAATATAAATCTTATGCAATCTCACTAACCCATTGTACCTTCTTGTAAATAAAAAATTATTAAAAATATTATTCACTGAAATGAATTGCTATCTGTCACTGAGGTAGGATTGCAAGTACTGAAGGGTGTGATCTCTGATTCCATAGTGTTGGAGTTTGAGAAGAAAGTTGTTGCAGTTAAGTGTCAAAAGCCTTGTGCAGGTCAACAAACAAACCTACTCATTTTTGTCAAGAGCTGCATGTATTAGGTAAAGCACATTTATACGAGTATCATTGGTGCTTTTATGGGGTTTAAAGCCGTATTGGTTTGAACTAAGTTGATTGTACTTATATAGAAAGTAATATAGCTGTTTGGAAATGGGTGTCTCAAAAATATTGGACAAGGTGGGCAGGATTGATATTTGTGTAAAATTGCTGGTTTCTGTGGCATCTCCACTCCTATGGACTTGGATGACTTTAGCCATTTTAAGATCATCTGGAATCCTCGGAGCTCTAGTGATGATGTAGAGCAATGCTAAAAAGTAATGGAGGAGCAGCAAGAGCTAAAAACCTTGAGACCTTTTCATAGATTATCTCTGAAGGGTTACTGGATTCAGGTTTAAGTGAGAGGATATTACCAATATTATCTGAGGGGGTTAGCTGTGCACAGATACATGGTATACAATCAGTTATATGCTTACAGACTGTAAATAGGTCATAACTGCAGTGGTGCAGTGTTGCTGGAGCTTGCCGGAGTGCTGCTCCGACACCTCTGCAAGTGGATGATGGAATGGAGGAAAGGGAGATGATGGCTTGTGGGTGATGATTGATTGTGGCAGGAAAATATTAATGTTTCATCACTAATAAGTTAATAATGTTAACATATTTCTTCATTTTTTAAAGATTCAATAGTACAGTATTTAAATTTTTATATTTAAAAAGTAAACAGGTTGAATTGTACTAGTACAAATCTGGAAACAATACCCGATGCATGTGAACGTTTCCTGTCCATTTATGCGAGATAAATTGTATGAAACAAAGTTGCCAGCTTACCATTTTGGATACGAATATTCAGAGATAATGTTCATGGTTTTAGCAGTAGTTCATTAGACAGGTATTCTTTAATCATACATAGTATATTTTAGTATTAAATACTAGGCAGGTAAAACAACAAAACTGCTACACACAATTTTACATAATACTGTATATGTAGTGCTCTTTGGGGTAGTTCTAGCTTCGTGTGAAATACTGAGATGGCAACTCTGCTTCTGTGTTTCAGTGGCATTAGTAAAGTGGTGGCTGGTGGTCCATGGATTTCTCTCTAATACAGAAGCTTTTTTTCTCACAAACAACCCCATCATGGCTTCTAAGCAAACAATGTTGACTTCCTTCTTTTGTAAACAAAATGAGGAATGTAAGAAGAATAATGTTCAGGAGACCGACAGTGAAACTTCTCACTGGTTGTATTTTGTGAACACTAAGTTTTTTAAACTTCTTAAATTGATAAATACATGATTGACATTTTTTTCTTCATTTGTTTGGTAATTATATTTTATGATAATTAGTGAGTACAAACACAAAATACTTAATCGTGTGACATATAGAAACAGGATTGGAAATGACAAGCTTTTGGAAGGCCCACCAGAACTGACACCTATAAAATTGGCATTGCATCCCTGGTCATAAGTGTTGTAACTTCAATAGCTACATGAATTTTTGGGTTCAGTTCTTGAGCCCATGAGGTGCCTCTGTAACCTTTTCACTACTGCTCACAGGATGGGTATGTGCCTCTGTAACCATATCATCACCACTTACAGGATTGATATGGGATACCTATGTAACCTTACTATCACTGCCCCAAAGGATGGGTATGGGATGCCTCTGTAAGCTTACTATCATTGCCTACAGGATGGACAATGATGGTAAGATTACAGTTGCTATCATACTACAATTAGGATAATAAATTAATTTATAAATTAAATTTTGTGTATTTAGAAGCTTAGGTATACACAGCAATGTGCTGCTACCCTATTCTATATGAAAGATCAGTGTAGCTCAAAATCTAGCTATAAGTTCATCTAATATCTCCATATCATTGGAAGGTTAGTCATACATGGAATCGGGAGAGGATATGAAATGTGAGTCCAATCAATTAACCTGCACTAGCAAAATGTGGGCAGAGCACAAGAATATCTTGTTTCAGCAGTCAGTAATGGAGCAAGGTACTGCAAACATTTCTCAGAGTGAGTGAGTGAGTTTCCTTGTACCATGGAAAAGTACTGCAGTAAAATCACTAATGCCCCATGTTTTTTTATTAATATTTAAGACATAAGAACATAAGAATAAAGGTAACTGCAGAAGGCCTATTGGCCCATACGAGGCAGCTCTTATCTATAACCCCCCAATCCCACTCGTATAAATGTCCAACCCACGCTTGAAACAATCGAGGGACCCCACCTCCACTACGTTATGCGGCAATTGGTTCCACAAATCAACATCCCTGTTACTGAACCAGTATTTACCCAAGTCGTTCCTAAATCAAGTTGATTTCCTAAATCAATTGACACCAAGTGGTGTCAATTGCCGGCTGGAAAGATATTGCAAATCAAATGCAATATCTTTCATAGACAACTGGGAACACTTCTATGGAAGAAATGAAATGTATGCTCGTGATGGGGTGCATCTATCGAGAGCTGGGGTTGTTGCTGTTGCGAACTCGTTAGAAGAAGTGGTTAGAGGTGTTTGTTTGGGTTTAAACTGTTAGTAGATAGAGGTATGGGAATTGATTTGGAGGAAGGAGGTAATAAAAGTATGTGTTTGTGGGAGAAAGGAATTGGCAAAACGATCAGGGAAAGAGAAGGTCCGCAAAATAACAATTCACTTAGGGTATATTACACTAACAGTAGAAGTCTAAGAAATAAAATTAACGAATTAAATGCTCTTGTCTGCACAGAAAAAATAGATATTATTGCACTTACCGAAACGTGGATGAATGTAGAAAATAGAGAACTATTAGCTGAATATCAAATATATGGATTTAAACTATTTCACACAGATAGATATATTAGACGAGGAGGTGGAGTAGCCATATATGTTAGGGACAATTTGAAATGTAGTCTCAAAGAGGGAATCAAAACAGAGCCACACACACAAACTATTTGGATTGAATTAAACAAAAAAGCTAATAATATTATAATAGGAGTAATATATAGGCCACCAAATTTAGACAGAATGGAAGCAAAGCATCTATGGGATGAAATATCTAGAGCACCTAGATCTAACAGTATTTATGTCATGGGTGACTTTAATTTTAGCGGAATAAACTGGTTGAACAAAACAGGGAATAGTGAAGCAGAAGATTTTCTAGAATTAATTGACGATTGCTTTCTTACGCAACACATTAAGGAACCAACAGGGGAAAATAATATTTTAGATTTAGTGTTAACTAACAGGGAAACGCAAATTAATGACATCGAAATAGGGAGTGAGCTAGGGAGCAGTGATCACAAAGAAATCAGATTTAGCATAGAATGGAATAGACCAGTAGGAGAAAATTCTGTTAAAGTGCCAGATTTTCGAAAAGCTGATTTTAATAGCCTAAGAAATTTTTTGGGTCAAATTGATTGGAAAGTCTTGGGTATGGGGTGTGGGCCGGTCTTGGAGCGAGACATGAACCCAGCGATAGGTGACTTAAATGGGGATTTCGATGTGGATTCAATATATAACTTATTTAAGAATATTCTAAACAAAGCACAGGAACGTAGTATACCATACAAATTGAATAGATCGAATACTAATGACCCAAAGTGGATAACAAAGAATTTGAAGAACCTTATAGGTAAAAAGAGAGCTTGGTACAAAAGGATTAAAAATGGGGAGGTCACTTTAGAACAGGAATTCGTACAACTGGTTAGAAATGTTAAAAAAGAGATAAGGAAAGCAAAAAGAAACTATGAAGTTCGCATAGCAGGGCAAGCAAAGACAAATCCTAAAGGGTTTTTTCAGTTATATCGTACTAAGACTAGGGAAAGGATAGGTCCATTAAAAACTGAGACAGGTCAAATAACAGATAGTGATGAAGAGATGAGTAGTATTTTTAATAAATATTTTGTATCTGTATTTACTAAAGAGGAACTTAACAATATGCCTTCAGCCGAACAAGTCTATGTGGGTGGGGACGAGGACAGGTTGACGAGTTTAGCAGTTACCAGGGAGGATGTTCTTAAACAAATAGTAAAACTCAAACCAAACAAATCCCCAGGGCCGGATGAAGTGTTTGCCAGGGTGCTTAAAGAATGCAAAGAGGAGCTTTGTGACCCACTGTCAACCATATTTAATAAATCAATAGAGTCAGGCAGAGTGCCAGAGTTTTGGAAAGTTGCTAATGTGATACCAGTTTTTAAGAAAGGAGATAGATCACTTGCGTCTAACTATCGACCAATTAGCCTAACGTCTATTGTGGGAAAGTTACTCGAATCTATAATAGCAAATAAAATTCGTCTTCATCTTGAAAAACATAAATTAATA